GGGGGCTGCTTCGTTAAAGGTCACTTCTATTGCCAGCAGGTGGCGCTATGACTGTGGGTGAATGTCGGCATGTACATGTGTTCAGGGCGGGACTCTCATCCTAGATGTACAGTTTGGTCCAGATGTGAGCATGTACACTGAAGTTACAACAACTTCCTGTTTCATTGCGAATCTTCGACGCCACGGACACGCCCATTGACGAAAACTCGCAAATAGCACAACTTTCATCGTCAATGCCTTTAGAAGCACAGCAGAAATTTGACGTCGATCCGACTAAATCCCTAGGAGGAGTTCGTTAAAGTACGAAGTGTGTAAATCATCCAAAAATGGCTGTAAAATTCAAAATGGCCGACTTCCTGTTGACTTTAGGCTATGGGTTCTTGAGGCTTTTTTGTGCGTCTTGATATGATACATGTCCTCGCACGGTCGTGCTCGGGCCCTAAAAAAATTAATCCGAGCAAATTCAATAGGGACCTCGCACGGTCGTGCTCGGGCCCTAAAAAATAATCCGAGCAAATTCAATAGGGACCTCGCACGGTCGTGCTCGGGCCCTAAAAATAATCCGAGCAAATTCAATAGGGACCTCGCACGGTCGTGCTCGGGCCCTAAAAATAATCCGAGCAAATTCAATAGGGACCTCGCACGGTCGTGCTCGGGCCCTAAAAAAATATATATATATATATATATATATATATATATCCGAGCAAATTCAATAGGGACCTCGCACGGTCGTGCTCGGCCCAAAAAATAATCTGAGCAAATTCAATAGGGACCTCGCACGGTCGTGCCCGGCCCTAATAATAATCTGAGCAAATTCAATAGGGACCTCTCACGGTCGTGCTCGGGCCCTAAAAAGAAAAAAATAATTAATCTTAGCAAATTCAATAGGGACCTCACACGGTCGTGCTCGGGCCCTAAAAGCAAATTCAATAGTATAATAATATATATATATATATATATCTTAGCAAATTCAATAGGGACGTCGCACGGTCGTGCTCGGGCCCTTAATATAATCTTAGCAAATTCAATAGGGACCTCACACGGTCGTGCTCGGGCCCTTAATATAATCTTAGCAAATTCAATAGGGACCTTACACGGTCGTGCTCGGGCCCTAATTATAACTCATTTGAAAGTCTTGTTCTTAGTCTTTCACACCCAAGTTGGAAATCGCTGCAACCAATTATTTTTGTTATAGTGTACCGAGCACCTGGCCCGTACTCTGAATTCTTATCTGAACTTGCAGAGTTTTTGTAACCTTTAGTCCTTAAAACGGACAAAGTTATTATTGTAGGGGATTTTAATATTCATGTGGACGTTGAGAATGATAGCTTCAGTACTGCGTTATCTCTGTGTTAGATTCCATTGGCTTCTCTCAGAGTATTCATGAACGGACTCACTGTTTTAACCACTCTCTCGACCTTGCTAGTCCTATTGTTATTATAATCATTAACATTACGATTATTATCATTAACACTACTGTAAATATCTGTACCATTTTTCATTTAGTCTATAGCAACATCACCTTTACCGTCTGTACCTCTGTGTGTATATTGTGTAGACTGCCTCCCTCCCTTCTCTCTCTCTCTCTCTCTCTCTCACCCCCAACCAGTCGAGGCAGATGGCTGCCCACCCTGAGCCATGGTTCTGCTTGAGGTTTCTGCCTCTTAAAAGGAAGTTTTTCCTTGCCTCTGTCGCCTAGTGCTTGCTCTTGGTGGAAATTGTTGGGCTTCTGTAAATAACATCACAGAGTATGGTCTAGACCTGCTCTTTTATGAAAAGCTCAGATAACTGTTGTTGTGATTTGGCGCTATATAAATAAAATTTAATTGAATTGAATTGAGAAAAGGCCAGGCTAGACCAGCTGAAGGCTCGATCATAACCATCACCACAAGATATTTTGTCAAAAATACTCACCAATGAGTAGCTCACCAAAGTAGTCAAGAACTCATAGTCTTCTCTGGAGAATTGGTGAAAAAGAGTTTTTATTCCAATAAAGGACAGAAAAACCTGAGTGACATCCTAGCATGCAACAGGATGGAACTGAATGCGCAGTCAGCGAACATCGCCTTATATTCACCTCAGGCCCCACCCTTCAGGTGGGCATTCTACTTGTGTTCGCTGACCGCACCCTCTTTGATGGTGGATTTCTTATTGTCTGCTGCCATCTAGTGGCTTCTTACATGTGCTGATGTACATGATTATCATGATTCTTTCAAAGGTTAACATGTTAAACGTGAGTATATAGCAATGTACCTTTCAAAAAGACTGGTCTTATACAACAGTCTGTTATAGTGTACATGTCATGTTCTCATTCAGTGTTACGTGGCCTGTCGCAGGTGTCCTCCTAATGACTCATCCTTGCTTTTATATTGCATGATATCAGATCCTTAAGTGAACACAGGATCTATGCAGTATCTATGCATTAAGCATAACATGAGCAAACACTATGGAGATGGGAATCTCCTAGGTGTTAAACGAACATTACTGCAATTTATCTAGTTTTCCAACAATCATTACATCACCTTATTGGGTCTTTGAGTGCATATTGGCAAAAAAATTTGGGAACCTCTGACTTGTGTGTGTGATAGTTGCTTCTTAGTTAGCGATTTGCAGTTGTGTTGTGGCGATTTGCTTTCGTGTTGTGGCGAAGTCCTCTGGAAGCGTCTCAGAAGTGTGTCAGCAGTGGAGCGTGCAGCCTTCGTCTGTTACAGTGGGTGTAGTGTAGAACAGGTTGGTGGACCCAAATGTAAGACACGCAGACAGACTGGTACAGTTCAGTGATTTATTAATGCAAACAAAAGGCGAGCATACTTACAACATAGAGGCTGAGTCCAGGGAATCCAATATAACACAGTTCAAGCAAACAAGGTGATCCAACAGAAAAATCCAGAAACAGGTGTACAATCCTAAATCCAAAGAACTGACAGGGAACAGGCAAGGAACAAGCAAGATGAGACAGAGCAGGCTACAACCACTACAACACACTGTAACACTACATAAATGACTGCACAAGGACTGAAGGAAACAAGCAAGCATATATACACAAGGACTAACGAGCAGGGCGGGAGCAACACAGGGGACAGAGATGAGGCTAATGAGACAGGCAGAGAGACAGCATTTCCCCGCTGTCTCTCTGCCTGTCTCATTAGCCTCAGAGAGACTGGCAGGCAGATTACTGAGAGGGAACAGACATAACAAGTTACTGAACACTAAACATATAATATACAAGAAACATATAACTTAGAAACCAACCGACACAACAGACAGATCGCCAATAACTACAACCAACAAGGAAAACAGACTGAGGCTGGGATAAAACAGAACTTAGAGCAGAAGTTTACAGACCAGAAGTAAACACTAAGGCATGAACTAAGGCACAGGACTAGGAACAAAGACATGGAACCAAAACACAAACTAAATAATAGATACTGAAGTGACCAAACAATAAACTCAGAGAAACTCAGGACAGGATCGTAACAGGGTGATGTTATTAATTTGTCATTAACTTGTCATTTTTGTTCTTCTACTACCTTCTTTACAGCTCTATGTGACTCTGTTTCATTCTGTCAACTTCAGGCTGCATTTCCCACAAGGAGCATTTAAAAATCAGAGCATTTTGCCTGCATGATTTTGCTGATGTTTAGATTTTTTTGATTTGGTAATCAGTTGCTTTGCATTTTGTGCATCTACTATGAATTAATAGGCTAAGTAGTTAAATGTTTATTGTTGTTTTACAATCGGGAGTCTCCAGGGTGTTTTATTTTGAAAATTGACCGAATTCTCTATGCCGTCTTGTGTCTGACTTCCTGTCTGGTTCAATCTGCTCTATGGTGCTTGACGCGGCTAGCGGAAAAAAATAGACCTGCTACCTATTCTCTGCGGAGCAGAGAGCTGCTTCTGGGACACTTCTGGGATGCACCGCGGCCTCATCTGGCGTCTGGCCCCAAGCAAAGGGATGCATCATCATTTACGCAGTCTAGGTTTCTATGTTTTGGGGAACAGAGATCCTCTCTCTGCCTTGAATGAACATTCCAGGAGAAGAGAGGAACAACAAGAGAGGAAAACACCAACAACCTCACAGCTCTGTCCTAAACCCTAGTAAATGTGGACAGACTAACATAAGGAGTATAGGAGAGGAAAGGTTAAGGATAAAAACACAATACTAATATCTGTAAGCCATAACGAGAACAGTAATAATAATAATAATAATAATAATATTAAAAGATCAAACATAAAAGATTAAATGTAAGAGGAGACAATTTTCTGCCATAACAATTGGTACGAGCCTTCCACCGACACTTTGAGTGCCAGTCAAGCTTCATGCCAAGACAGCTAGCTATACATGTCATTCTTTAAAAACGAGGTAAATATAAATAATCATTAAATCATGCCATACTACATTTAAGAAGATTTCAATTAAAATTAGCTACAGAAGGTCAATTTACCTCCATCCAACCTGTACACACAACTCCATCTCCAGTAGATTGAAGTGCTTGCCAGGAGCAAGGGGATTGTGCGCGTGGCCATGCTTGGTCAGTTCACCCCACAAATAGAAACTCTTATCCCAACCATTTTTGACTCGCAGAGATTTTTACCTTGCAGAACTTAATAACTTGCAAAACTTTCTGACTCGTAAGGAAAAGTTTTTGACAAAGAGGACAGATTAACAAAAAGACCTGCTTGTTTTTAATTACAAACTTGATTCCTGTGATCACAGTGCGAGAAATATGTTCTCAAAATATATTTTTGCTTGCAATAAAAAGACCTTTTATGTACGTTACATCTTAAATCTATGTAAAATCTTTTTTTCTAACAATTTTAAAATCAGCATTGGTTCTTCTTCTCTAAAGCGGTTTTGCCGTGGTTTTTCTCTTGCTTCCATGTTTTCCCTGGTAAAAAATACTTTCATATCTAACTGCCTAACTTCAACATACAGAACTGTCATACTGACACCAAAATGTCTCTTGAAAGTAAGGTTGACGGCCAGAGCACAGACAGAATCAGAATCAGAAATCTTTATACTTTATTGATTCCCGGGGAGAAATTCTTGTGTCACAGTTGCACACATTTCACATCAGGACATAAAGCAATAGACATAACAGTTCTATTGGAGGTGGACAACTGGTTTGTTACTGTGAGTTTATTGTGACTGCTTCTCTTTCTGCAAGGACAAAGCTGCTCTTTTCCAGGAGAATGATCAAGGTGCATTGTTATAAAACAATCTCAGGGAAAGATGAATAGCTCAGCTTCAGAGTGGACAAAGATTGCATTTATTTATTGTTGATTGTCTTGTTTATACTTTGCTCTGTTGCTGTCATACTGACTACATGAAATAGGCAGCAGAATTCTGTGTTCTGTCAATTACAAAATTGATGAGAAAATGTACTGAGGGAGGAAGAATTGGGGTGCAAAGTTTTGATACGAAATACCCCTCTGTGGACCAGGCGTCAAATATTCTGCAAGCATTGCAGCTTTATGCTGACAGTAACTTACATACATACAGCTGGTGACATTTTGACATTTTTCTTCTCGTCAGCAGACACCACGGGCAGACCCAAACAACAATGACTGTATCCAACAGTGCAATGTATTGCACAGTACATTGACCAACTGTTTTATGGAATGACTGAGCCTCTACAAAATGATGGACTAACACATTGTTGGTTTTGTTGTAAAGCTGCCCTTTTCCTTCAACAGGAGCTGAAACTCTTGTTTTGAACTCAAGATTTTTTTTGACCTTCTCATCTTGCTGCAGTGATGTTTAAAGTGTGCCAGTAATGCATCACTGCTGGGTGTGGTCACAAGAGTTCTCTGTCAGATATGAGTGGAAGTCCTATGTTTAAAAGCCCACAAGTCTTTAAGTGAAGAATGAAATGAGCATTATTATAGACTCCACATCTGGATATTGTTAAACATACAAAAACACCAATATAGTCCATACCTACTGTATATTTCATGTCTCTGCTGAGCGCTGTACAGTGTTACAATGGGAGGAAGAAGACAGAGAGAGAGAGATAGATCAGTCCATCATAACATGCTGAGTAGCTGTGTGGACAGCGGGAGGCCTCGCTTCAGTCAGGGCAGAGAATTCTTCTCCGACATTCAAACAGCACAAAAGCTTTGACAGGAGCAACTTGTCAGATGTGACCTGATGATAGAGGGAGAGGGTACTGTCATTAGTTGCTCTTCTTCTACATGTGCTGTCATAATGAAGTGAGGCAGACCTGTCAGCTGCTGCTCCTCCATCTCTGCACGACCACGGAGGAGATGAAAAGAGCAGGATTTTTAAAGTTTTTCTTCATCTTTATTTTTTCTGTAATGCTTGTTTATAATTGAATAATTGACACATTACAAATTGCGTGTTTAGTTTGGTTATAAGTTCCTTATAACACATTTGACCCACATTTTAAATACTTAATACCATGGCCATTAAAGAAGAAATGTTAATAAATAGGAATTATTTTGTATAATGGTAAGACATTAAGAAACAACTCACAGCACAACACAGGTGTCCTGCAATCCGACAATTTATTCAAGGGCTTAGGTTTTGTTTCAACATTAGAGGGGACACACCCTTTAAAGTCCTCACCAAGAAAAAAGTATGGAAAAAATTTTTTTTTACATTTTTTATTTCATTAGGGCACTAACAACAATAATCCAAAAAAAAATTTTTACAGTCCCAGTAGTTTTTCTGATATACAGCTCTACCAAACGGTTGAGATGGATCCTCATGGTAATACTTAAATATGCATTTTAATACCAATAAACTTTAGAAAACATCATATAAAATAACAGTCAACAGCAGAGAAGGCAACTTCAGCACTTTATCCTTAACAGACAGACTTAGATACTGAGACAACGTATCAATGTCGTGTTAGATCACTGCAGATTGTTCATCTGTGTGGTGGTGTAACAGCAAAAAATGTTTTTGGCACCATTCTGGTGCTAAGAACAGAAATACAGTATTTACTTGATTTAGTGTATGGCTTGTTGCTAATATTTAAAATGTTGTTCAATAATCAATGAAGTTACTGTGTAGTGAATACTGTTTTGTATGAACTCTCCTATAAACCCTTGATACGCAATAAGGGATGAAGTGCTGAAGTTGCCTTCTCTGCTGTTGACTGTAAAACAGATTTATTTCTGCAAAAACTTAGCATTTTATATGATGTTTTCTAAAGTTTGTTGGTATTAAAATGCATAGTTTAACCATGAAGAGCCATCTTTCTAAATCTGGTCTGGACTGTCTTTTTCCTGCTGATTATCAGTAAAATTAATAATCTGGTATAACAGCTTGAATCTCTTGACATCTTGAAACGTGACTGGCGGTGCCAGTAGTCATGGCTGGAAAGTTGAAAACACCTATGACAGGTAGTACTGCCAGGAAATAGTCAACCTCTTCGGGGCTAGCTTTGATCAGATCCCCCAACTCCTGCACAGAGTACAGATTGGTATGTTCTGCAATATGTTACATCTTGTCAGTGAAGAGCGTTTTGAAGTAGGCTACTGGAAGGGAGTCTTCACATCATCAGAGTGTTCAAATCTTGAATCAGGAACACGGAATACCTACATGTCCTCAAACTTCCAGATTTTTCAAGTACCAAGGGGTGGTGATGGCTTTTAAAACTGAAGTTATTGTTCTGGGGCCTAAGCACCTCCGTGACGCATTATCTAAAGATATAGTTTCCCTTGATGGATCGCCCTGGCCTCCAGCAACACTGTGAGGAATCTTGGAGTTATCTTTGATCAGGACATGTCGTTTAAGTCTCACATTAAGCAAATTTCAAGGACCGCCTTTTTTCACCTACGTAATATTGCGAAAATCAGGAACATCCTGTCTAAAAATGTTGCAGAAAAACTAGTCCATGCATTTGTTACTTCTAGGCTGGATTACTGCAATTCCCTATTATCAGGCTGCTCAAAAAGTCCATTAAGACTCTGCAGCACGTGTTCCGACAGGAACCAGGAAAAGAGATCACATTTCTCCTTTCTTAGCTTCTCTGCATTGGCTTCCAGTAAAATCCAGAATAGAATTTAAAATCATTCTTCTTACCTTCAAAGCTCTTAACGGTCAGGCACCATCTTATCTTAAAGAGTTCATAGTACCTTACTACCCCACCAGAGCGCTCCCAGAATGCAGGGTTACTTGTGGCTCCTAGAGTCTCCAAAGGTACAATGGGAGCCAGAGCGTTCAGCTATCAAGCTCCTCTCCTGCGGAACCAGGTTCCAGTTTGGGTTCAGGAGGCAGACACCATCTCCACATTTAAGAGTAGGCTTAAGACTTTCCTCTTTGATAAAGCCTATAGTTAGGGCTGGTGCAGGCGAGTCCTGAACCATCCCTTAGTTATGCTGCTATAGGCCTAGACTGCCGGGGGATTTCCCATGATGCACTGAGCTCCTCTCTCCTCTTCTTTCTCTCCCTCTCTACGCAACCTCATCCCATTAATGCATGTTACTAACTCAATTTCTTCCCTTTCCTGTAGTCTTTTTGGGGCAGCAGTAGCTCAGTGCGTAAGGATAATATGTTTTCTTTAAATCTCTGAATCCTAAGTATTTGGTCATTTTATTGTAAAACCCCTGGAAGTGTAAATATTGACTTCAAACTAATTGCTTTTTATTGTAGTGTATACAATATTATGTACTATTTTGTATTACATTGTCTACTTTGGAATCCAAATAGAAAATACAAGAGGGGATTTCACATTTTCAGTTTGTTTGGTCACTAATTGTCAGACCCAAGTCCGGATCCGGCTTGTTTCTAGGGTTGTCTGGAATTTTCAGAAACACGTTTATTTGGTTGTGGTCTGAGAGTGGGGTTTGCTGCCTGACAGTGACTGTAGTAGCTCACTACCACTACTGTTTGTCACACTATCAATGTTGTTCCCCTTCAAGGGAACTCGAACTGCGTCGGTGACGACACTATGGGAACGCCTCTGGGCGTGGCAGGGCTGAACTATGAATGAAACTACTCCAATCCTATTGGTGTTGCTAGAACGGTAGTGTGTGACGGCGTAACCTGAGGGGTATATAAGCACACCAGCACATAGGACACAATAGCTTCTTTCTATTCAGCAGGCACTCTGGCTATGTTTGGAAGCTCCATCATCTTACCTGAACCCATGGAATGTGTGTCTCATGCCTGGGGATGTCGCACGCCCAGGCAGCTCTCGAGCGGGCTGCCTGCGACCATTGCGAGGCCCTGCCCCTGAGGATGCTGAGGTCTCGAGTGGCTCTCTTCCTAGAGGATGGTCAGATGCGCTCCCCCCGTGGCTCAGGCCCCGCAGTTGCTGAGGCGTCGCAGCGGCTCCGATCCTGGGGATCACAACGCAAGATCGCCGAGGGTGCCGGGACGTCTGAGGCCTTTTTCCGGTCCTCGTCCACGGAATCCTCCTCCCCACGTCCCCGATCGGGAGCCCGTTTCTCAGCTTCTCCCACTCAAGGTATGAGTCCGGAGAGGCTTGCACGATCTGGCTCTGAGGAGCTAGATGTGCTTAGCATGGAGAACATACGTAACCCGAGACAATTCTGTGAGTGATGATTAGTGAGATGTCTCCATGTAGTAACACATTTTCCTGGGCTTGAAAGTGGGTGATTTCTGTGGGGAGAACGCAAAATATCTCCTCATTATAATTCAATTCAATTTTCAATTCAATTTTATTTCTATAAATCACAACAACAGTTATCTCATAGTGCTTTTCATAAAAGAGGTCTAGACCGTACTGTGATGTTATTTACAGAAGCCCAACAATTCCCACCAAGAGCAGCACTAGGCGACAGAGGCAAGGAAAAACTTCTTTTTAAGAGGCAGAAACCTTGAGCAGAACCATGGCTCAGGGTGGGCGGCCATCTGCCTCGACTGGTTGGGGGTGACAGAGACAGAGAGAGAGACAGAGAGACAGAGAGATAGCCACAAAGAGAGAGCAGAAAGCAGAGGGTGTTGAGCAGGAACATGGGGGCAGCAGGTGACTCGCAACCACAGATCCAGACTCCATAGCTCCACAGCCAGAAACACCTGCAGGAAGTGATAGGAGGAGAAAGCACAAGAAGAAGAAGATATACTTTATTTAATCCCCAGAGAGGAAACTCAATGTTTTCACTCTGTTATTATGTTAGTATACACACAGGTCTGAAAGACACACACATGCACATGCACAAACACAACCCATAGCAACACACAGAGAGATGTCAGAGTGAGGGGGCTGCCAGTCAGTACGGCGCCCCGAGCATTTGGGGGTTCAGGAGCTTGCTCAAGGCCTCCTACGGAAGTGCCCAGGAGGTGAACTGGCACCTCACCAGCTACCAGTCCACGCTCCACAACTCTGATCCCAGCTGGATTAGAACCGGCGACCCTCATTTTCCCAGCCATGTTTCCATCCAGTTGTCATGCAAATTTTAAGTGTACTTTTGAAATGTCGCAAAAAAGAAATAAAAAAAGATATTGCAATATATATTAGCTGGTTTGGAGCAAATAAACAAGGCTACAGCATACGTCAGTAATAAACAAGACGTATGGGTTCCAAACCAGAAACAAAACCAATTGCTTGAACCTGATGGCAAGTCATCTTTGAAAAGTGGAGAGAGGTCCTCAGAAATGTGTTTCAAGCGGGCAAACTGCTACCAGCCATGTCTCCATACGTTATGGGAATATCTGGTGTTTTATGCCAAGTTTTGCATAACTCCCTCCCGAGAATTGCATGCAAATCCAAATAATGCTTTTAAACTCTATATATATATATATATATATATATATATATATATATATCTATATCCTTTGTGGGGTTCATCAGTGGGGATAAATGATTCTAAGTATATACACTATTTTATGAACGTTTAGTTGTTAATATTTTATTACACTCAGTAGAAGAATTCATTGAGATTCGGCAAAAAATATGCGGTGATAAGCCTGTTTGATCAGTATGCAGAGCAAAGGATCTGAACAGGACCTTTAAGAGGTGAATGCATAATTCGGCAGAACAGATGATGAAGGCTACCTGCATGAAATTCTCAGCACGTATGAAGAACTCTGCACAACCGGGCAATACGCTGACAGCAGAAACAGCTGATCAGATGTGAGTTACAAGTTCGCTACGTCAGAACTTATTCGGAAAAAGTTTTTCCATTCCGAAGTGTAAAAACTTTTTTGTGAGTCAGAGAGATACATCCCAGACGAGTTCATCAGCGGCTAGCAACGATGCTATACTAGCGGGTATCGTTGGCCATTGGGCTGACCTCGTGAAAATCACCTCACTCATGGATGGCTTAAAGAAATCTTTGGAGGGCTGCCTTGACACAATTGAAATGACGCTATCATCACTTCAGAAGAAAAACCATGAAACCGTGCGCTGCTTTGATGACTTTGATGAAGTGATGTCAGCTAACGACAGCCGCAAGACAGCATTGGAAACAACGAGTTACAGGTGGCTAACGGTCTCCTCAGAGCTAAGCTGAACGATTTGGAGGGCCGCTTCCATTTTCCCCGACTACACAGTGGAGGTCTCGGCACAGTGGCAGGCCTTCACAAATGTGAGGAAACGGCTTAACAAAGGTGGTGCTAAATGTTCCATTCAATTCAATTCCGTTTTATTTATATAGCACCAAATCACAACAACAGTTATCTCTGAGCGCTTTTCATAAAAGAGCAGGTGTAGACCATACTCTACTACTAGGTAACAGAATCAAGGAAAAACAGTGTTTTGATAAATGTTCAGATCTAACACTTATTTTTAGCTGATCACCGATGCAGCATATTGCATGTGTTTAAGTAAATGTAAAGTAAATGCTCCATATTTGTATAGCGCCTTTCTAGTCTTTTCGACTACTCAAAGCGCTTTTACACTGCATCTACATTCACCATTCACACACATTCATACACTGAGCCTAAGTGCTCAAACAGAAACTAACATTCACACACATTCATACACTGCCGGAACAGCCGCCAGGGGCAATTTGGGGTTCAGTATCTTGCCCAAGGACACTTCAACATGCAGCTTGGAGGATTGAATGGTTGAACCACCGACCTTCCGATTAACGGCCAACACGCTCTACCGCCTTAGCCACAGCCGCGTTAAGTAGCATCTCTCACAGTGAGTTCTTTCTGGTGCGTAAACCTAGTACTGGGACTATTTTATTTATTACCTTTGGATTGCATTAATATTGATTGATACTCCCGGTTATGTGCATTTATATAAGCGTTTACCCTTTCATGGATATTTCATTGTATTTTCTCTTTATTTTCTTAACTTTGATATTTTACATGCTGCACCGTTTATACCCTTTTCCCTGTTATACCTCACCAAGTGTGTGTTCTGTATATCACTTACACTGAGTGCCTTCTTTTGGGTGCAATTTAAACAGTAGTCTGTTGGCGATGCGCACGGGGCCCCGTGGTAAGTGTGTTTTTTAGTGTGCAGTTTGGCTGGCTCTGTTACCCGGCAGCCTCCTTGTTAGCTAGTGGGTTGTACCGCTAAGTTCTTTTAACGGGTTTGGGTTATGTAGGGGTTTTATTTGTCTTTCTTTATATGTCATTTTTGTCATTGGATGTTCTGCCAGCCCTTTATATGTCACATGTCAAACCATCTGTCCCTCCACATAGATCCATGTCACTTACTCACTTAGGTCAGGGATGAGTCACATCACTATTACTACTTGGAATTGTAGGGGTATTGGCAGAGCCCTTAAATGAGGTAAAGTATTCTCGCATCTAAAGTCCCTGTCGTCTGATATTGTTTTTTTGCGGGAGACCCGTTTTCAAACTTCAGAGCAGAGGCTTTTAAGATCTGTGTGGATGTCTCAGGTGTACCAGTCCACCATTTCCTCCAGGCGAAGGGGGTTGCCATTCTTGTTCGCAGGTTCATACTTGTCAGGGGTACAGTCAACTCAGTCCCTTTAGTTCTCTTAAACATTTATGCCCCCAACTTCGATAGCCCTGATTTGTAAAGTATTCAACCTTGTCACGGAATATAATGATCATAATATAATTATCGGCGGTGACTTTAATTGTTACTTCGATCCGCTATTGGATAGGTCCTCCTCGTTCGTGGCCCCATTAATACAATCTCTCTCAGTACTCAATAACCTTACCAAATCCCTGGACCTGGTTGACATTTTGAGACACCAGCACTCCCTAGAAAACAATTTTTCTTTCTTCTCCCCTGTCCATGGCAGTTTCACAAGAATTGATTATATGCTGGTTGACTCTAGACTTACTTATGTAAGTCTTACTTATGTAAGTCTAGAGTATCTGTAATAAGCTCGTCTTATCATAGTATCCTAATTTCGGATCATGCACCCCAATCTTTATACCCCCCAGTATAATTGGCAATTTAACCCCTCTCCATATTTAGATGACACGTTCAGTGCCTACATATCGACCAAGATTGCAGATTTCCTGCTCATTAACGTCAATGGTGCCGTCTCAGATTCTACCTTGTGGGAGTCATTTAAAGACGTTATAAGAGGACACATCATCTCGTATCAGTCCTCTCGCAAAAGGGCCAGGCTGAACTAGCTGAACTGGAGGAGTATTAAAACACAGGCTCTGAGGTCACACTTGGCTCTATTCTGAAAATGACAACCATACTCTGGGCGAGCAGGTTGGGAACTACGTATATTTGTAGACTAAAGCAGAATCACTTTGAGCTGGGTGAAAAGGCCGATAAATTGCTTGCTAGGCAACTGAAGGGTGTCATATCTGATAGGGCAATACATAAAATTTCCTCATCCACTGGTCAGCTATTAACTGATCACAAGCAGATCAATGACAGATTTTTTAGCTTCTACAGCCAGCTATAGACTTCCAGATCTCCTGCTACAGAAACAGACATTGACAAGAGATCAGAAATGCAATTTGTACTTTTCCCAGTAGCAAAGCCTGTGGTCCAGATGGATTTAGGATAGAATTTTACAAGACACATTAACATCACCCCCCTCTTGCTTCGGATAATCATTTGCTCAGTGAAAAATGGTGCCTTCCCTCATATCCTCTACAACAGCCATATCTGTGTCCTCTTAAAAAGGGACAGAGACGAATCAAATGTTTCACTGTATTATCCCCAAGTCTGCTTAACTCTGATCAAAAAGTTATTGCAAAAGTCGTGACCAACAGGTTAAATATATTGGCACTTTAATTCATCCCGATCAATCAGGTTTCATCCCTGATTGATTTTCCTTCTCAAATACAAGATGTTTGTTAAATTTAATGTATAACTAAATTCCCCAACTCCGCTGGGATCTCACTAGATGCCCAGCAGGCTTTTGATCACGTAGAGTGGGGATACATGTTTGCTGCTGTCTAACAAATTTGGCTTTGGGTCAAAATTTATGAATATATTAAAAATGCTTTATGTTCGCCCCCGATCTTCTGTTCTAACCAACCATGAAAGATCCCACCCGTTCTCATTGCATCGCAGCACCAGGCAGGGCTGTTGCCTCTCTCCAATGCTCTTTGTATTAGCTCTTGAGTCTCTGACCATAGCCATCAGAGCCAACCCCCAAATCTCTGGAGTAAGGTGCGGCACGTCCGAATACACCATCAGTTTGTATGCAGATGATGTAATTTTGACTCTTATGGATGTGAAAACATCCCTTTCACCTCTTCCTAATCTGTTGGATGGCTTTGGGTGACTCTCTGGGTTCACTATAAACTGGGAGAAATC